TTTTTGGCTCGCGAGGTGAGAGAACAACTGTGAAATGATGATTTTGCTCCAGACTTTTCTAGTATGTCAACCATATACCATCCAACTAGCTCGTCAAGGTGAATTTGGGTGCTAATTTATCCTTTATAAAAAGAAAGCCACCAATTTCCTCCTAGGTTGTCCTACATTTCTATAATGTAACCAAATATTTCAGATATTTTACTTAAGGTGTATGCACCAAGTTGGATAGTGCCAGATTGCCAGTACAAAGCTACCCACATGGATAACAGACGAAACAACAAAAATTGAAGAACCAGGACAGATTTACTACTACCTTGCAGCTACTCCCTACTCCCACAGGGTACACAAATGTAATTAATTTGTACTGCTGGTCATATTTAGGTTGTCGTTGGTGATTATTACATATCAATCACGCTGTAGTGCACAATATATATAGTCTTGAAACAATAAGTAGAACTAGCTTTCTAGAAGACAATGATAACCGGACATTGATGAAAATGGTTCAGCTACAGTTCGGAACATATTTCTACTTCAGCTAATTATCCAGGATGCAGAGAAATTAAAAGGATCACATAACATTTTCATGGTGAAATATACAAAAAAAATGTTTGGTGTGTTACAAACAGCCAGGTGAGGAGTTTAACGTACCAACAACGCGGCACCAGAAACATCGGAAAAGCTGCAACCTACAGCTGTGGATGATCACTGAACGTGCACGCTCTTGGATCAGGCAACTAAGAATGATTGATCAGGCAACTCAGAATGCTTGACTTCCTCGGCTGCAAGAGCGTCTACTCTTCGGGTTTCACCCGATCTTTGTCAGGAATAAGCCACGGTGTTGTCCGTGTGTGCGGGTTCTATTTTTGGTTGCATGCTAGCATGCAATGGTGGAGACTAAGTTGTGTAGGGAGTTCGGTGCTAGTTTGACAAAGTGTGTGGTGTGCGTGGATGCCAGTTCGTATGGAGAAGCCGTGATGCCCGAACGAGCGAGAGGCTCTCAAACGTCACGGAGCGAGTCATGTGGATCATGGCATGAAGGCGGGACGTGAAGGTTAGCTACTGGTGAGTCCTTGGCCTATATGTAGCCCTATGCTCCTCTGTATTGAGTCGCCAAGTCCAGTGAATATGTAGCCAAGATACAGGCGAGCTTGTCGCCGCGGCGTTCGTCTTCGGAAAATAGTGTCTATTGTGCTTGTTCTACCTCTCGTCAAGAGTGTTGGCGCGTGTGTGTTTGAGTGGTTCCTGGGCGAAGCCAACAATTGATATCTAGAGCCAGGTTAGATGTCGACCATGTTGCTGGAGGAGCTCGTCGGCAGGCTGCGCGTGGCGGTGGAGTGCTGTGGTGGAGTCGAGGCAGTCGCGGATGGCGTCGAGCGTCTGCTGCTCACGAGGAGCAGTGGGAGGCGCATCGGCGTTGTCAACGCCACAGCAAGGAGCGCTCGAGCGAAGGCACCGACAAGCGCGGCGACGACAAGGAAGGCACCGGCATCGACAACGAGACGACGCTCATGTAGGTTGGGCATACGGGGGGTGCCGTGGTTTAGGGGGTGATTGTCAGGAATAAACCACACCATGGTGTTGTCCGTGTGTGCGGGTTCTATTTTTGGTTGCATGCTAGCATGCAATGGTGGAGACTAAGTTGCGTAGGGAGTTAGGTGCCAGTTTGACAAAGTGAGTGGTGTGCGTGGTTGCCGGTTTGCATGAAGAAGCCATGATGCCCGAACGAGCGAGAAGCTCTCGGGCATCACTGGGCAAGTCATGTGGATCATGGCATGAAGGCGGGACGTGAAGGTTAGCTCCTGGTGAGTCCTTGGCCTATATGTAGCCCCAATGCTCCTCTATATTGAGTTGCCAAGTTCAGTGAATATGTAGCCAAGATACATGCGAGTTTGTCGTCACGGTGTTCGCCGTCGAAAAATAGTGTGTCTATTGTGCTTGTTCTACCTCTCGCCAAGAGTGTTGGCGCGTGTGTGTTTGAGTGGTTTCTGGTCGAAGCCAACAATCTTGAACTGAGAATCTCACATGCAAGTTGCTTTCATTCCTGAGGCAATGCTCGATTGAAACCATCAGATCGACAGACAGAAGTCCCGCATCCAATCAATCGATCATCAAAATTAAAGTAGGTTAGCACAAAAAAAAACAAGACAATGAAAATAGATAAAATTAAAGAGGAGCGGGATATAAAAATTGGTGGTTTACTTACAATCTCAGCGAGAGAAGCTATATATGCTGCTATCCTTAGTAACTGCATGCGCATTGTGACTAGCCCTATGCATGGGTGCATGGGTTTGGATCAAATTTCGATCCACCCATTTATGGACTAGTTTAAATGGATTGGGTGGGTTACCATGTTGCATGGGTATACAAACGCAAGCAGCATGTAGATCCCTCATTCATGCCTGGCGAGCTCTACACCGAGTTCCCGATCTCTGCAGACCTCGAGCATATCCTCTATATTAACGACGTCCCGCCCGAGGTGCCACCGCCCCACCGACGCCGCCGGCAGCGGCAGCAAGGCTGCAGGAACCTCCTGACACGTGGGTGCCTGATGTAGTCAACGTCGAACTGCAGTCACCCAATTTGTCCGATAGCAGCAACAGATCTCGGGATGAAGAACACATTATGATGAATGATGCTGCTTGCATTTGTATACCCATGGAACCGAGTAACCCACCCAAACCAAGCCAACCCAATCCATTTAAACTAGTGATCCAAAATTGATCCAACCCATGTTAAGTTGTTAACCCACCCATGCGTTGTAGTCAGACCACGACACTGAAGTCCCCTTCGGTACAAATTTGTCCTTTTCTCCACGAAATCTTAATTTGGAAACAAGTAGATAAAATCAAATTTACACACAAAAAAATAGGCGGCAAGAAATCATCAAGCAGAAATCTAGCACATACCGGCACGCAAAACCCAAGTAATAATTAGGGTTCACCTTCGGTAATAACGAATGAAGAAAGGAATGACATAACAAGCTATATATGGATAGATGGTACTAGAGGAATTTTACCTTCTTCTTCGCGAGGTCGTCGTCGCAACGGCCCGCTGAAGGGGAGCCGTGGCGTTCCATGATCGTGCTTGTTGCCGCCTTGCCGACCGGGTCCAATTTTGCGGCGGCGCCCGGATGCAAAGGCGTACGGCGACCCCGATCTGATCTGGGGTTTCCTGGTTCCTACCCGTCTACATGAAGAAATTGATCGGAAGGAGGGAGAGGGCCGGGGATGAGCATCTAGGGCGGGACGCTGTCAGTATAGAGATTACGCGCGAGGTCCTAGCGTATCCTCTATGTCGACGACGTCTCCGTGAGGTCGGCGTCGTCGCCGGCCGGGTCCAAATTTCCGGCGGCGCCTGGCCGGATGCAAAGACGTACGACGATCCCGATCTGATCTGGGGTTTCCTGGTTCCTACCCGTGTGCATGCACATGCAGTGCACGGATGGAAGGACGGAGAGGGGAGGGTGATGAGCATATATATATAATTCGGCCGGAGCCTGGTTTTGAACTTTGAATTTTGATCGAGGTGGAGGAGCGACATTATCGGCCGTCGGACGGATGCATGCGTCGAGCGGGCGATGTGGGGTTTTTCCTACCCGTCTGCATGCAGGAATGGAAGGACGGGGATGAGCATGTAATTCGGCCGGAGCCTGGTTTTGAGTTTTGAATTTTGAAATTTGAAATTTGATCAAGGTGGGAGAGACATTATCGGCCGTCGGATGCATGCGTGGAGCGGGCGATGTGCTATGCAAATTATTCCGATCCTTTAATGCCATTGTAGAAATAGAAAATTATTTTCGGCAAGTGAAAAAGGAAAAAAAGAGCCATTTACCTCCTCAACTAAAAGCAAATCCGTTTGATGCATGCCGTTGCAAATTATGTGGATCCTGTTGGTGCTATCCAAATCGTTCACTTTCCTTTTTTTTTAAAAAAAATAAATTGCCGCTAATAGGATGCCAACAAATCTAGAGGGTCCAGTAGAGGGCCTGCTAGAGTTTTTTTTTTGCCTCCACTACCTGAATTTGGATCAAGTAGGGGGGGTCCGCTAGAATTGCTCTTACCCAAGTAACTTTGCCTAGTCAAAAAACACTCTACATCCTCGATTTCAAGTGTTTGATGGCCTAAATTTGTTGTTTGGCACACATTTACCTAGCCCGCTAGGATAGCAACAACCAAAAAGGCCCTCTCGAAGCCAGCCATATTGCAATCTTTATTTAGCGCACATGCTGCTTCATGTTCCTAACACACTATTTCTAACTATGACTTTTGCAAATGATTAGTTTCCTTGCATAGCCGATTGAACTTTTCTTTTTTTCTATTATAAATATATCTTCTATCTTTGCACGTCAGTTGTTTAATCTCTCTCTTTCCTTACACGAATATCCATAAACATCTCTGATTTTTTTGGGATTACATAAATATATATTTGATTAGGTTATTCTCTTAATCAATTTCTTATATAACCCGATGGACTTCATTCACTATTCACTGTTAACCTGAAGCCAGCAATAAAAGCCCTGCGGCCGTTTAAAAAAAAAAAATGCGGCCATACTTGCCGCCAAATGAGTGAAAGGCCCCCCTCCAAGCAACCGCAGCTAACTCCTGAGTGCAATAGTGCATGGACCTAGCAGGCCAAAAGGCCAAAGGGACTGCGGCCCAAGTTGACTTGGCCCAACTCGGCCAGCCAAGTGTAGCTGCTGGCTGAGCAGCCCCATGGATGGACGAAGACGGCCAGCCAAGTGAGAGTTGGATTTGGATGGATCGAATTGGATGGACGAAGACGAAGACGAACTCCCTTCCCTCCCAAACCCGAAATAAATTCAAATTCCAATTTCCGAATTCAATCCCCGCCCCCGCGCGCTCCGACTCCAACCAGAAATCGCCCAAATCCAAACCCTTCGGAGCCCGCGCATCTCCCCATCTGTGAGCCAGATCTCTCTCCACCTCCATTCCCTGATCCCCGCTCCCCAATCCCGACCTGGGTTGGTTGACGCAGCGGCGATGGTGCGCGAGCTACGCGTCGACGCCTTCTACGCGCGCATCAGCGCGGCCGCCACTGCCGCCGCCGCAGCAGGCTCCACATCGCCGCTCCTGATCCTCCCGTCCGCCGCCGACGCCGACTCGCTCTGCGCGGTGCGGGCGCTCGCGCACGTCCTCGCCGCCGACTCCGTCCGCTTCTCCGTCTACCCCGTCGCCTCCGCCTCCGCCTCCGCCTCCGCGCCGCTCTGCCTCGTCCTAGTCAACTGGGGCGCGCACCGGGACCTGGTGCGCGCCGTCCTGCCTGAGACCGCCACCGCCTTCGTCGTCGACTCCCACCGCCCCGTCCACCTCCACAACCTGTGCGCGCGCAACGCCCGCGTTGTCGTCCTCTTCACCGCCGACGACGAGCAAGCCGCGGACCTCTCCTACGACTTCGACCTCGCCGCGCTCGCCGACGCCTCCGACCCCGCCGCCGAGGGCGACGCCGACGACCCCCTCCGCGCCGATTCTGGTTCGACGAATCCGACTCGGAGGACTCCGACGCCGACGAGGATGTCGGCGGCAGGAGGAAGAGGCGCCGGCTCTCCGACGACGACGACCCAGACCCCGTGAGGCTGTTCGGGAGGCTGCGGCGGGAGTACTACCGCGTCGGCACGTTCCACGGCAAGCCGTCGGGGTGCCTCATGTACGAGCTCGCCCACGCGCTGCGCCGCAACACCAACGAGCTCCTCTGGCTCGCCTGCACGCTCACCGACCAGTTCGTCCACGACCGCATCACCAACGAGCGGTACCAGGCGGCGGTCATGGGGCTGGAGCAGCACGTCAACGGCTCGGGCAACCTCGACCCGTCGGGCGCTGGTGCAGTCGTCACGCTCAAGGACGGCACCAAGGTCCGCGCGCCCGAGGCGTCCCGCATCGCCTACGAGGACGAGCCGCGGCTCATGCTGCTGCGAGTGGAGCCTCTTCGACTCCATGCTCTGCTCCTCCTACGTCGCCACCAAGCTCAGGACGTGGACCGACAACGGCCTCAAGAAGCTCAAGCTGCTGCTCGCCAGGATGGGGTTCCCGCTCGCCGACTGCCAGAAGAGCTTCCAGTACATGAGCATGGAGGTCAAGCGCAAGATGCGGGGCGAGTTTGACCGCTTGCTGCCTGAGTACGGCCTCACCGAGTTCTACTACCGGAGCTTCTTAAGGGTGCACGGGTACAGTTCCAAGGTTTCGGCTGCAGACGTTGTGTATGGTGTCACGGCGTTGCTTGAATCGCTGAATGCCGAGTCCAATGTCACAAAGGAGTCTTCTGCTGCCGAGCAGTTTTGGGCTGCATACTCAGCATTGTCGCTGAGCAATGTTGATCAGTTGCAGAAAGGGATGCAGTCTGCAATTGAGATCCAGAGGGCGATTTTGAGGCAAGGAAGCCCGGCCATTAGTAAGACAGGGTTCATACGGAGTGCCAAGAAGTTCCGGTGGGTCAAGCTTGATGACCCTGTGGACACTATCAAACTTTGCCACCCACAAGCGCTTACCAAGTTCTGCTTCTTTCTGATGGATGCACTGAAGGAAAGGGGTGCGAGGATGAAGCCGCTGATCTGTTCTTGCTTAGCAAAGGGGCCTGAGAAGGTACTGGTTGTTGGGGCATGAGGAAAACCAAGGCTTGGGGCTGCTCAGGGTAATGCATTTGGTAAAGCATTCAGATCAGCGGCAGAGGAGATCGGTGCAGATTATTTCCATGACATGTTTGAGTCATCATGGATTGTTCTGGATGTTGTTGCTGTCAGTTCTTTTCATGATTCAAGTTAACGGACAAGCTATGATCAGATGAAATGATCTTGTATTACATGGATGATTCTTTCAGGTCTCAAGATGGGAGACTCAACACCATTCTCTCAGAATAAAGTTGCTTGAGGCCAGGTGGTACATGACATGTATTTTCCTAAGTACCATTCCACCTCCCATTTCACTAATGTAGGGAAAGCAGCCTGACAAGCATCCTGCTTTGCTAAGTTTGAGCTGCCTAGAGATCATGACTTCAGAAATTGAGAAGAGGGTTTTCCTCTGTTTGAACTCCCCCATTAGCAAATGATAGATCTGTAGATTCAGATGCAAACCTGGTTCTAGCGTAGAGGGGGCAAGGTATATTTCTTTACTTTCTTTTTATCTGATACAATGGATGTTTGTATCTGTATCTGCATAAACATGATTGAGAACATTTGTTGTGTCCACCAAGTGTCTTGAAATTCTATAAGTTTATAACAAGTGCCTTTATAGTATGTGAACCCGCTCATATTTGTATGAACCATAAAGCCATCTTAAGAACGGATTGTTCTTTTCTGTTACAAGTAATGTTGAAGCAAGGAAACAGTCATTTTCTTTTTGTCAATGTTGAAGGCTGTAAACCTGTGACATGCTGTTCAATGTTCATGAACTTTTCTGTGCATTAACAAAGTTAGATAGTTGATCTTTTTTACAAAGAAATATCAGGTATGTTCCTGGCCCAGATAGTTCAGGTACCTTAGCTGCTCTAGAGTTTTAATTCCTCAATGCACTGCAAAAGTGCTCTTGAGCACTGTATATGTTTTGTGCAGACAATATAGTTCTGTTTTATAACAAGGTCCTATGGATTGTTGTGTTCATCCACTAGGCTACAAACCAACCTTTCAATCTTGAAACAGTGCTGTATTCTGATATTTGACAATACAACCTGTATGATGTAGTTTTAGACTTCTGGTGATGTTAAACATTGTAGATAAGAACTTGAATTTCTTAACCAGTCTTCACAATTCATGTTTCTTTGAGCATATTTCCATTTCATATTGTTAACTGAAATTTCTTAACCAGTTAACACCAATTGATGATCTGTGGCGGTTATGATAAAAACTGGAGCATACTTTATTCATTTAACTGGAATGCTAATGCCATCCTTTATCTGAAGGAAATGGCGATCATCTGAATTTGATTGTAAACATTGAAAGTTATATACAACAGTAAATGGATTTCTTGTTTGAAATTTCTGTTGCATTTTATGACAAGCAGTGTATGCAAACTGGTGAAGTTTGTCTCTTACAAAACTGAACGCTTTCCAACTGAATTAACTGATAATTTCACACAACTGAAAAACTCCCTTTTTTTTCTCCTTCCTCATTCCATATTATATGCATGCAGTTTCCTAAATTAGTTCTATTGCACGTTGACATGTAAAACTACAAGAGACTTAAATTATATCTTTTTATATTGAGGATAGTTGATATACTTTCGTTCTGTTGCCTGCTGAACATTGTTGAGATAATAAACTGACAAGTCCAAAAACTTTGAAATGATTGCAGTAGCACCACACCCTTATGACATGTTAAGTTGAGTTTCCCTCTTGTTTGCTTGTAAGTTGAAAGCTTTTGCTTAGTTGCAGCAATTTCCAGACCCTGCTGGGTGCTGGCTACCGCAAGTATTTCTTCAGTGATGATCTAGTAGTATTTTTTTTTTGGACCGGGTTGTAACAATCAGCTGTGTGCTTCACAGTTTATGGCCCTAATATGGAATCCAAATGGGCCTAAGAACTGTTTGGGCCTTAAACGATGACTGAAGGATAGCCAAATAAGCCTTTTTTTTCCTCCTGCTAATTTCTGGCGATCTGAATCACTAAAAACTGAATTCATCCACATATTTCACAGTTTGAGACAGTGATGGTCCTTGGTCCTTGGTCCTCTGCAGCTACGGGCATGTCTGGGTTGTCAAGGAGCATGTTGTCAGCCTCTGCGATGTTTGTTTTGTAAGTCCCCTCATTTCTGGACACCTGCTTGATTTTTGTTTCACTCCAATAAGACTCACTTTCATTTTGTTGTCATTAGTCATTGTTATGCATCACTAGCTAAATATCACAGTTTACTGGGCATTTAATCTACTGAAAGTAAACTTCTCTGGCAATTGGCTTGTCTTTAATAATTCACGTTCACATCAGTCAATCCTTTTAAGTTCTTCCCAACAAAACACTGCCCAAATGGTTTCCCCCTAACAACTAGCAAGTCCAATTTTCCACAGCCTAACTTGTGTTTTACTGTGTTTAGGTCTAACGATGATGCCCAATCCAATGTTGATCAAGATTGATGGTTGCTGGCTAACTGTTTAACTATTTATGGACAATTGAATATTTGATGATGACTTGGCATCCACTATATACTTTGACCTGTTGCTCTGTCCTGCCCTCTTTTGGAGTTTTGGTTGATTTTCTTGTCAGAAAGGGTCTTATTTGTTGTTCCTATCAAATATCTTCAGCTGAGAGCTTTGTCTCTACAGTTTTGTTTACATCAATCAGAAAGGCTGCTTTCTACTACACAATCCACATCACTACATGTAATTTGTTGCCTAGGCGCTAGGCCTTAGGATTTTTAATATTCTTTAGGTTAAATTGGTCATTCTCAATCATGGAAATTGCAAATCCATTGTTCAATCTGATGATACTTTTAGTCCAGTACGTATTGCAAACAATTAGTGGTCCTATGCTAATTCCTTACAGCAGGAATAATTTGGTGCCATGCCCCCCTTTAGAACTTTGGTTGATACTTGATAGGCACATAAAGCTACTGAAAAGTGTCATGTTTTTTTTTTAAATCATCCTGCAACATGCCTTGTTTACCATGCTTTCTATATGAAGTTAAATAGATATCGATGCCTTGATAGTGTAAAATGCCTCTGTCGAAGATTGTACATCTTTAACTGTCCTCAGTTCGTTACAAGCTAAGGAAACATCTACTTTAGTTTGTCTTGACTCTGTAGAAACTTGAGTTCTTCCTGTCAACTTTTATGGCCCTTGCCACTATCAGTTGGCAGTCATCCACTATAATCAATTGGTGGATCTGTGATGATAAATTCATATAAACTTTTGCCGACCTGCAGATAGTGCTATCTGCTAATCTTTAATTGAATCTACAGACTGCACTAAGCTGTGCCAAATGGATCAACATCTTAGTTGAGCTCTTGAGTTGGAGCTTGAGTATTTTGAAGATTGCCTGGAACACATAACAGGCAGTGTGGCACGTCTCAACCTTTCAATGCCACATCAAGCCTATTTATTTTGCTCTGGTGTAGATAGTCTACAATTAATAATGGGTTATGGAATGGTCTCATAAATATGCCTTTGGCTTGTGAGGAATAGAGAAGGATTATGCGGATGATTAAGCTGTATGACTTCTTTGTTGCATAAATACTATACATCAGTGGTTTACCTATATATGCTTCTTAAACGGAAGCATCCTGCTTTGGGCAAGTTACACAAGTCGAATAGATGTAGTGAGCAGGTTTATTGCAGTGGTTTAAAAGTTGCCTAACCAACCAGTGCTGAAAGCTCTCACACAAGGTGAGTGCGAGCGGTGGGGTTTGGGTTGGGGTGGGGACGCTTTGTCTGGGAAAGTAACGTAACCTAGTAGTTAAGTAGTTTCCAACAACCTTCATCTTGTTTGTATACCCCCTTCTCTATTGTGGTCCCTTGTAGATGTGATATATAGCAACTCCAGGAGTACTTATTTACTTCCATAAGAGCTAATAACTAGCAGTCCTAGAGATTTTTTTTTATTTCTAACACTTTTTTTAAACTATTTCCAAATTTGACACTCAATTTTTTTTTATTTTCAAATCTAACACTTTTGGCTGTGCCTATTGCCACGGCGTGGCCAAACAACGCTGACGCGCCATGCATGGCGGTGTGGTAGTGCCGTGCCATCGCGATGCGCCCTAGCTCCCTCCCTCCCTCTGTTTGTCACTGCGTCGAGGCCAGACGCTCTCGTCTCCAAGACCCGCACTCCTTCGTGTACTGTCCCTTGCTCCGGTGTGGCTGGCCTCAAGGTCATGGCCAGCGCCTGCCGGCCGCCTCCCGCCTCCTCCTCCCGGTTGGCCTCCAGAGGCAGCGTCATTGTCATTCGCCCCCCTTGGGCGTGCCTGCCCGCCTCCCCTGGCTGCCTACCTCTCTCCTCCCCCCAAGCTTCTTCTCGGCCTCCATCAAGGTATTCATACTCTTATTTGTTGTTTGAACTTTGGATTCAAAGATTACGATTGGTAGCTAGGTTTTAGAGGAATAGTAGGATTGGTAGCTAGGGATTGGTAATGGAGGATTCCTACTTAGGGTTTGGAGAAAAAGATTAGTTAATTTTTTCTATGTGAAGGTTAATTAGTTAGTTACAACTATTAGTTAGAACTATCAGTGCATAAGTGTAGGTTATATTTTCTTTGTTTTAATGCAAATGGTTCACCTTTACATTACTTTAGTACTTTTTTTGTTTTACATTAATTTGTGATGTTTTGATTGATGTTAAATTACAATCGTTTTATTAGATGGAAGACATGTATCGGGAGCAGTTGTGGCGAAAACGGGATCATCTTACAGAATTATACCCCGACGCGTCTAGCAAAGATGCCCCCGTCTCTCTTGACCTCCCTGTCCCTAACTGTGATTGTAGTCGTCCGACCGACGTGTTTCAATCGAGACATTGAGACACAGCTGTGCGTTGCTTCTACACACACAGTCGTTTTAATGTAAGTGATTCTTTCTGTACCTTTTTTTCTTTATTTGTGTTACTAGGTTACTAATATTTTATTGAAATCTTGTTGTGTAGGCCCATGAGAGGTGCTTTTTTTCAGTGGATCGACGGTTCGAG